TTTAGTGTGTTGAGGTGTGTGTTGCGTGTGTTGTGTGTGTTGTGTGTGTGTGTGTGTGGCACACATACATCTGGTATACAGTTGTAATACAACACAGCTGTTTGATGCTGTGTCAGAGACAGAAAACGAGTTGAGGAAGAGCCAACATGTTGTGGGTGTGCTAGTCAAACAGAGAGGCAAATGGCGCTGTTTAAAGTGATTTTTGTGTTTGTTTGAGCTTGGGGTGTAACTTTTCAAAAATTACATACACAATAAGTAAGAACAAATAATCATGTGTGCAATTCACTTTAAAATCAATTAAAGCCATAGTTTGAATGCTTATCCTTTGCTTTTTAACAGTCTACAGTTTTAAAGTAAGTAAAATACCCTGCTGTGATTCGTATTTTATTTAACATGGCTTTCCCACCTAAAAAGAGTATTAAGAAGCACTTTTATCTTTCAGGACAAAAAAGGCAGATCTACTGCACTCCATAATTAAGAAAATTCTGTATCTGGCCATGAGCCACAAACCAGTTACAGCAGTTGTTTCAGAATGGTAAGTGTAGCGGCTTTTAATTGTTTGTGTGGTTTGTAAAGTTTTGGATAAACTTTGAATACTCACTATTGGTGCACTGTTTATCAGTGGACTCGCCCTGAGTGCTGCTCCTGGCCTGCTCCTCTGCTCCAGCGTGGTGCCTTCTGGTTGCCACGGCGCCCATCAGCTCCGTCTGCTGAGCTGGCGTCTGGAGGTCTGCGGGGCCCACAGAGGATCAGTTACCGACAACAGACAATACTCTTTGTGTGTGCATTGTGAAATTGCGCGTGTGTGTGTATGTAACTGGGAAAACACTTCCGAAATATAGTGCTGGCAAGATAGAGTGCATGTGTGTGGATATGTATGAGTGTATAAACAACAAGAGGCTAGGAAGGTACTCTGACAGACCAATACAAATATGATCCTCCAGACAAATCTGACCAAGGTGTTGTGATAGGGTCAGTCAGCGAAACGTTATGATAACGATAGCTCCATGTTTGACTGACATCTTTAATCACACGGGAATGAAAAGCAGAGATCGAGAAGATGAAAATTAGAAACTTCAACCCTGACATTAAGTGATATTTAAGTTGATCACAGATCCTTTCATCTTCTGACAGGGGAGAAAGTCCCGAGATGCACTGTGGGTTTTGAACCCTGCCGCAAATGTGCATCATAGCGTGTTGGGTTAACTGATAGCTTTATAGCAAGACCTTGACTGGAAGATGAAATATTTACGCTGCTGTATTCCTCCACTCAGGCAGTTGACTTTTGCTCCTGCAATATTCATTTAGCATCCTGTGCTTTTAGCTGCTAAAAGAGGAAATCAAAAGCAACAGGGTGGCTTGGGAAAATTGCTTCCCCTTTGATAAGTCTCTCGGTTGACACGGAAGAGCAGGGCCTCTGTGGCTTGAGTCAGAAGTCAATGGGCCCTCAGGGGGTAGGGCTGCGCTAATAGATAATGTTTTTTAAAAGGGAAATAACTTCGTCTTGTGCAGTTCCCTTAATACTTGTGTGAGCTTTCAAAAAAGATGTTATGTGCGTCTCATCTCATTGAAGGGATAATAAAAAAGATTAGCGGTGTCAATCGATTAGAACATTTGAATGCGCGATAAATCATGATTATTCACAAGTTTAAAATGCTAGTATTAACTTGTAATTTTGGGAGAGTTATACATATGGGGTTATAATAAAGAAATGCATGATAAACAGTTAAGACAAATAAGAAGGTTTTTATTTTATTCTCACATCTTAGCTTCGTTTTCATGATTTCTGAATGTATTTGTAATTTCATTTTCTATTTGAGGGACATGTCGTGATGGCTAATTCATGAAAGGGTAAAACAAAAACTATTAATCAGTAACATTTCTTTCTGATTCTGCAGTCTCAGATAAGGGGGGTGGCAGTAGCTCAGTCTGTAGGGACTTGGGAAGCGAATAGGCACTGCTTCGAGTCCCTGGACAGACCAAACATTAAGTAGTATGGACTGATAGATAAAGATATGCCAGTTCACCTCGAGGGGTCCTTGAGCAAGGCCATAGGCCCCCAACTGACTCCTTGCTCTGACAACCTCTACGTTATTGTGTGTGTATGGGTTCTGTTTGCTTTATTTCAACTGTAATTGTATAACGAAAAAGCAGTGAAAACTAAATTCTTCTTCTACGCATTAAACATATACTGTGTGCTGAATCTTTCCAATGTGCCGGTGCTGTTGTTATATAGTCAATTCCCACGTGGGCAAGTATAGCTTATACATGTGACTATACGATAAATATGGCTCTATGCTCCATAACTGAAGATAAACATGTGTGTTTCTACATGCGGAAACCTCATTTAGAGTTACCCTAAATCCACTCAGCAGTGCTCGGGGCTGTTTGGTGTGTATAGAGACGCAGAGCACCATGCAGACAGCGAGCACAGAAGGTACTGTCTGGAACACTGGAGCCTCGGGCATCACATACTCTACACTAAAAACTGACTGCTCCATCAAGTAATACTGTGGTACAAAAAGACGCTCTCCATTCTATGGGATAATGAATCAAAGACTACGCAAAAAGAAAGAGCAGGCTGGGAAAACACACATGGACCGGCTAGGGCTCATTATTCAACAGTTATTTATTTAGATAAACAAACAATGCTTTTCAGTTCATTAGTATGCTATATTAGTCTGCTCTACCACCATCCATACATAAAGAGGGCAGTGCAGAAAAAAAAGAATGAATATTTATCAAGTACCGTAATTTTCGGACTATAAGGCGCACCTGAATATAAGCCGCAGCAGCTAAATTGAATGATGTGTACATATATAAGCTGCACTGGACTATAAGCCGCAGGTGGTTTTAATGTTTAATTACCATATGTAAGGGTTCGTGCACAGAGGGGATTGTCGGGAAAGAAATGGCTGTTTGAGGAAGCTCCCATTTATTAACATTTCAACAAACAAGTTGCATATTTGCATAATGTATTCAAGTGTTACCATTTAGTGCAATAGTAGCTACAGAACATGTACTGTGCTGTGTAAACTGTACTGTATCACATAGCGTTTCAGACACACAAACTTTTCAACTTTCAGACTTAAACGGTGCGCTCTCCGTACCGGCAGTGATCTACAGCAGTGGTTTTCAACCAGTGGTACGGGGACAAACTGTCTCGCTCTCGTAATGTCTGTCTGTCTTGCTCTCGTTCTGTCTCTCGTACCACTCTCGGTTCCACTTTTACTTTTGCGCGCTACCTGTCTCACTCTTTTCCGGCCTCCAGCTTTCCTGCTGGAGCCCGCCGCTTAAAGGTGGGGGGGGGCCGGCCATATGAGCCCATAGAGTTAAAGGTGGTGGACTGTAACCTGTAAAATCCATAGATTTAGGGTTACAGTCCACCACCTTTAACTCTATGGGCTCATATGGCCGGCCCCCCCCCACCTTTAAGCGGCGGGCTCCAGCAGGANTTAAAAGCCAGATTGAAGAGCTGAGTTTTTGTGAGTTTTTTGAAGGTGATGAGGTCAGTGCAGTCTCTGATGGCTTTGTGTTCATAAATGTGTTCTCACCTTAGCGGACGTCTCGTACCATCCCACAAAGCCGTTCTCCTGGCAGAACTGCTCCATCTTTATTCCATTATTGGTCAGTACGTCCCCACCCTGGTCACATTTGTTGGCCAAAAGCACAGTGGCTACATGTTTCCCATTGGCAAGGGACAGTTTGGAATCCAAGTCCTCCTTCCATTTGGTGATGGCCTCAAAGGAGGCGGGCCTTGTGACGTCAAACACAATAAAGGCGCCCATGGCCTCGCGGTAGTACACACGGGTCATATTGCCAAACCTCTCCTGACCTAGAAGACACACACACAGACAAGGGCAAAGATGTATACACAGAGAAAAAAGTATTATAATATTATCAGAGTCAAGGGGATAAAACGTGATACTGTCTTGCACAGTGAGCTACATTTTGGCGCCCAAAAAGCTGCTGTGACACCTCAGCAGCAAACAGACACAGAGCCATGAATCATGTGCTACCATGCAAGAATTCCCGACATACCTCACCCACTCTCTCAAACATCGATATGCACACAAAATAGCTTGCTTATACTGTTAGAAGGGCTGCATAAAGAGAGAGATAAGATGCAGACACGGATAGAGGCAGGGCTGGTAGGAGGAGAGAGGAGTCTTTGGTGTGAGCGTGTCCGTGTTCTCCTGACTGTGAACTGTACAAATTCCTGAGGGTAAAATTAATTCGATAAGCTCTGTAGGAATGCTGTATCCGCAGTGATTTTTCCCATCCATAACGTCTGCTAGAGCACCATCAGTACCAGCCTCACAGTTCAGCTTGTGGGCAAGACATTTGTATAGTGAGGACTAAACCACAAACCCTAACTGATCCTTCTAAAAACAGTTTGCATCATGGCAAAGAGAAGAGAAGTTGATATTTATTTACAAGCTGCTTTGTAGAAACATTTGCTATTCACCTGACACTGATGGACCAGTTAACAGGGTCAGCTGCCAGGAGGTTGTGTGTAGCCATTAAGTGAATATCAGAAAGGCAGAATCTAGTATAACAATAAGTAGCATAGTATAGTACGGCTGTATAAGGTGAAGAATTATAATTGTGTATTTTGTTGTTAACTGAATCAAACTCACTATTGTTTCTTGACCTAATAAAACCTAACCTGAAAAAAGAAAATTGTTTCAAACTGTTTCTCTTTAAATGTTAATAAGAATGACTGAATATGAAACTGGTTAAGTCAACATTGTAGCTAAAGAAAACCTTATGTATCATCAAATATAGTTTAACAGTTAGATAATTTACTTTATCAGGATTGCGTGGGTGTAATTTGATTAGATAATAAGTTTTTCTTATGTGATTAGATTCTAACTGGTGCAAGACGTTGCTTATTTTCACCCTCAAACTGGTTAAAAGAATACTGACCGAAACATAAATACAGGTATCTCTCATGTGGAATTACCAAAACAATTTAACCATATAAAAAGCTGATTTAGAAATGATGTTTCTGGTCCTTTAAAGTTACGGAGAGGCACAGGCTTCGTTATTAGATATTACATGTGGAGATGAAGTAGAGCAGATAACATGTGAAAGATCTTTGGTCAGTTCTGGAAACATCCACAGCTCAACATGTTGACTGTATCTTTGTGATTTCAAAAAGGTGAACAGTGTAAAGCCCCTCAAACGTGCCCTAAACCATCTAGATTCCCACCATCATGCTCTATGCCCCTGCAGATATCCACGTCACCCTGACAGACCTGGACAGAGAAAAATGGGAGTCAAAAATAGACCGGCTGAAGTTATTATTTGTCTTGGGAAATGCACAGAAGCAGCAGGTGATTTATTACTTCTGTGGCATGAGAAACCTAGAGACTATCATAATGCCCCAAACAAACAAAGCAGTGATGGACAAAGTAAAATGCTGAATGGAAACATATTTATTTTAGGACATTTCCTTCATTTGCTTGAAATCAGTGTGTTTATTTGTGACAAAATCTTAAAATATATACCTTCTAAGATCCAAACTAACTAGAAAACTAATTTGACAATCTTAATGAACATACTATGTAGACATACTACCCCACCTCAAGGCTTCCATAGCTTTAGGATGAGTGTAGGGAACACGTACGGACACTACAGACCTATAGCCATTTTCTCTAAGGGAGACACTAATCCTTAGTTCACAATAAAAGCTTTCTTTATACAAGAGCTTGGGCCTCAAATCTGCCTCACATGAGTTTGAGACACATGACTGCTTGCGCTTACTGGAGAGGGCGCACAGGAGGGGAGAGAGCAGCAGGTCAGACCATTCTTCTGAACCTCAGCCGACACTCATGTGAGATGAGACTGCTGTAGCCTTCGGGTGTCTAACCCACAGCATCCCACTCAAAAGCCCTAAATGTATGTTCACTCCAGGCAATGAAAGCTTAACTACGTTAACATTTGTCATTTTCACAAAATACATTCTCTATTCTTTATGAAAATGAATTATCCACTTTCCAGTTGTGTGCAGTCATATCTGGATGCATACAACATAATAGAGCAGGACAGAATACATAGCATCCTATAGGGGGGAATGGCATGCCGTTTAGCAGATTGCAGAGAAGAGGTGAGTGGCCACTTGGGGAAAGACAATTAGTAAATGTTATCTGAAATGCATTTAAATTCATCAGTTACATGAATTCAATCTTAGTCTTTTTAAATACAATGAAAACTTGGAAGCTCCCGCCAAACTATCCCACAGATTGAAACATATTTACTTGTTTAAAGGTTACACAAATGGGTTTGATTTAATTTTGACAAATATATTATAATAATCATGGTACATATGCGAGCTTTGCACTTTGGTCTAAGAGAGATGTTCAGCATTTGTGTGTGTGTGTTTATTGTGATTCTAAATAAAGACAATTGTGTAATTACAGAAATTTGTTGCTAAGTGATTGAAAGTGAGTAATGTCAGAGGTCAGCTGGTAGACATGAAATATGTTTACCCTAGATAAACCTTAATATCATCCCCCTGCCAAAATGGTTAAATAACAACTCTGACGACATTGTCTCATGATCAGTTTATGTCTTTTCATCAAAGGGCTCAAACTAGATGTTTATCTAAAATACACAATTATTTGAATGTCAGTACACCACATGACATTTCCTCTCAGGACTCTTTTACGAGACTTACACCACGTGTTGCCTTTCCTAAAATAACACGTTATTTTTTTTTTATTTGAGCAGCCGACCTATCATAAATATTTCATCTGTTATTTGGATAGTTATTTTTCTTGAATTAAAATTACATGAATGGAACATTTGATTCTCATAACTACTACACAGTGGAATTTTGAAGCAGATTAATTGTATCATGTGACGATCAAAAAAGAAAAAAGGCATCACTGTAAACATAATCTCCTCAAGAGATAAGAGCCTAAAGCCTTTAAATATATATGATGATATATAATGATAAATTACATGTTATTTAAATGCCAAACAAAGTCTATCACAGCTTAAACTGAAGAAAAAGTGAATATGTCATATGTTCTACACATTTATAAATCTCCAAACATTTCCATATATTTTTTCGAAATACATACATAATTTAATCAGCTAATTTCCCTGTGGCGTACAAAAAAACTATTATTCACAAAGTAATTTAAAACTAATACGTTTCATAACATCTCGTATGTGTTTGCCCTTTCTGAAACTGCTTTTTGGTATGGGTCGTGCGCAAAAGTGGTTCTGTACCTGCGATGTCCCACAGCTGCAGGCGCACCGTCTCCTGGTCCCAGTTGAGGACTTTGAGGGCGAAGTCCACCCCGATGGTGGCTCGGTAGTTGGGGCTGAAGTTTTGATGCACATACCGCTTGATGATGCTGGTCTTTCCAACCCCGAGGTCCCCTATAACAAGAATCTTAAAGAGATGCTCCTTGGTGTGGTTGTTCTGCATGGCGACCGAGGAGGGCGAGAGCTGAGCATGAATCCACCGGAATGGAGAGAGCCGGGGGATGAAAGGGGAGAAGCACAGGACAGCAGGGAACTGAGGAGAGTTGGGAATGAGTTGAGAGGCGAATAAGTAGGAAGGGGGAGGAATGAGGGAGGTACGCCCTGGCCCACAGACGGAAGTGGAGCGGAGCCGTCAGGACCATGGGACTGTAAACGCTGCCTCCGAGTGCCAGGGAGTATTTAAAACTTCCAAGCCTGAGAGCATAAGCACTCAAAATATTAAATGCTGAGGTAATAACTTTAAAACTCACATCGAAAGTTATTTACATCTTCAGAATGCTTCATTTGTAAAAAAAAACCTTAATTTAACGATATAGTGGAGTAAACATAGGAATTTGGTCAGCCGTTTGCATGCAAGGTTCCCAACATTACATAGGCAGTATTATGTAACTTTTGGATTGTGTTACTGATTAATTAATGAGCAATATGTTGCTGTTTATTGGGCCATTTCAACTTTTTAGTTCTCTTTTAAATTCTGTTCATGTCTTTTTTCCATACACATTGACAACATTCATTATAACATTTATAAATGCTTTTATTCCATCAAAATGTAAAACATCAGTGCAAATCAGAATACAATCATTTAATCCCTTATTCTGATTGATGAACAATTCCAGTTAAAATGCTCCACAGAGAAACATGGCAGTAACATTTTCAATTTGGTGCAAGGACAAAAGAGGTTGCAATTCTGCACCGTTGCTTCCCTGAGAAAAAGAATCAAAGTCCTGCACCTGACAATAAAACACAAACACTCCTCAGTTCCCTTTCAATTGAAATCCCTTCACATCTGCAGTAACATTGTGCATCAAAACTTTTAGATTTTAGTACCATTCAGCATTCAAGTAAGACCCGATGCATTTTGTTTCCAAGTTTGTGTTGGCAGTTAAAGCTTGAATTCAAATCATCCATAGGTGATTGATGAAATTGGAAAAAATAAAACAGATGTTAAAAACCTTTGTAGGCAGGCGTGCTAAATTCATGGCTTCAAAAGAGCACAATAGCAGTTTCACTCCAATTCAAATGAATGATATGTTATAATACTAAATCAACCATAAAAGATACGTTTTGTGTCCCTTTTTATGCTTTTAACTAATTCCTAGTATAACATTTTTATGAATGACTGATTGTTAAACCTCTCTGAGCGTCTACAGTTTGGGGATGGGGTTTGCTGCCACGGCGATGCTCTCGACGGAACACTCGTCGCTGCCTCTGCGGATCCTGAAGTAGCCGTCCTCGCCCCAGTTGGTGCTCCAGCTGTTTTTGACAATCCAGTACTTCTGACCGGTCATGTGGCAGCGGCCGTAGCCCACCAACAGCACGGCATGGTTGGTCAGCTCGAAGGGATTGAAGGCGTCTCCGAGGCCTGTGTGGTGGTAGATGCCCTCCTTATAGTGCATGAAGTCGGGATAGACCTGTGGAAGGATACGGACGATTTACATTTATTTTTTAAGGGCATATCACACTCAAGCTATAGCTTATAAAAGGGAGGGCTAATGAGTTTTAAAGACAAAATTACAAAAGGCATTTCATTAAAAAAAAAAGTTACACTTGCTAGCATTTTTCTAGCTTAGCTGTGCACTGGGGTTAATGGGACAAATTAAACCTTTACTTCCAGAGAATTTGCAGATAGCTTAAATTGAGAGTTGTTGATATTACACTATGTATGGAGAGTTAAATCAGAGTGACATACTACTCAAACAAAAAAAAGCACAGTGTAACGTTCAAAAGTTTTGCAATACAAAACATAAGTAGTCAAATGATATATTGCAGGGTTTCCATTAGTGTTTTATAGCCAAGACAGGCCAACTTCCCAGATGAAAAGACCACCTCCATGAATACTGTAGAATCAAAAACATTAATCATAAGGCCCACAGTGGGTAAAATGTACCAACTGTGTGAATTAGAAGCCAACTGTTTTATTATGCACACATTTGAAGGCAAGAAAAATAATAGGCCTTTTGACGACAATACAAAAAGACTATGAATGTGAGAGAGCCTTTGAAAAGCCTGAATATTTTCTTATTCTTAGATTTATTGTATTCATTATATCTTTAAAGGCTTTTGGAAAAAAAAATCTCAATTTGTGCAGAGTATTTAAAGTGCCACAGCAACAGCTAAATTATAACAGGCTTAAACAGAAATAGCTGAAAACCTGAATTAAACTAACAGGTATTCACAAAGTAAAACCCCAATTGTTTAGTGAACACAAACTGTTTGTTTAGAAATAGCATTAAAGAAACCAGCTGTTTACCTCAAAGGCCACTCCCATTGGTCCATTCTTGACCAGTTCCAACATCATAGCCATCTCACTGCAGCCGCCATAGAACCCGCCAACATAGCTGTATTCGGCGGTGTAGATGCGACCACAGTTCTGAGGGAGACCGCAGGGAGAGTCCTTTCCAATGTATGGATAGCACGACTCATCCACCAGACCGAAGTCTTGCACGTACTTCCCAATCAGGTATGGAAATCCACCATCGCAACCTTATAAAAAGGAGAGATAAATAACAAAGTTTGTACCAAAGATATTGAAGTGACTGTTATTTTGTATAAATGGATTGTTGTGCGTTTATTTATGTCTTAATGTGAGCATATGTATAAATGTGTATAGATTGTGTATATATAGGATATACATATTTGTATACATATTCTTATATATTTATTTTATTTGTATTCGGGATTGTGGGAAACGGTGTTTCGATCTCTCTGTCTGTACACATTTGACAATAAAGTTGACTTTGACTTTTGACTAGGGCTGCTCAATTAATCGTTTTTTAAATCGCAATTACGATTTTGGCTTGCAACGATTATGAAAACAACATAATCAAAATAAAACGATTATTTATTTTTATTATTATTTATTTAAAAAATATATACATTATTTTTTTTATTGGTTTTTCAATTGAATTATACTTAAGGTTCAGGGTAATCAACTGTTAAAAACATACTACACCTTTTTTTTTCTCAATAAATTTATGTTTTCAAATTAAATGTATAATCGTTTTTAATAATCGTGATATCAATTATTGACCCAAATAATTGAGATTATGATTTTTGCCATAATCGAGCAGCCCTACTTTTGACTAGATCTGACATTTTGAATTTTCTCAAGAATTGTTTGAGGTTTCTTGATTTTGTAATTGGCTGGAAACACTTCTGTGGTCCAAGATGGAAATAATAAATGGGAGCATTTCCACAACTTTACAAAATAATTACCGGTACTCAAAATGTATTAATCAGGACAATTATAACATGCTTTATACATTGCCATAAAAAACCCACTTAAAAACGCTACTTGTTCTGATTAGGGAGGAAGGTGTCCCAGAGTTTCTACATCCAGCATTTGTACACTCTTTCATCATCAGCCCCTTTCACAATACAAATACTTAGCTGGGTACATTTTCTAATTACTGCCAAATTCACATCTGCAATTTTAGTGTTAACCAAATTGTTAAGGAGAGAAGATTTAAGATTGAGTTTACCTTGAGAATATTCGGAACAGGAGACCACTTGCTGGGGGCTGAGGATGGGGGTGTCGGTGTTGTTGGTGAGGATTCGAATTCGAGCTTCCAGCATTCCCATGGTGGCGAAGGAGTAGCAGCTTCCACACGATGCTGAAACAGAACATCAAATATTTACACAGGAGGCAAATCTCACCGCTGTGCTATACAACAGCACTGCAATAAATCAACTTTGAGAAGCTTCAGATGAAGAGATTTTTCTTGACTGTNCTCTTCAATCTGGCTTTTAATGTGTGATTGTTTTTGTATTATTTGACTTTAACTTTAACTATATATTTATTTATTGTTCCTTTCTTTTCCTTTCTTTTCACTATATCTATAAAGCGTCTTTGAGCACCTGTAAAAGCGCTAACAAAATAAATCTATTATTATTATTAAAGCAAGGAGCTGTGGATAGCCTTCAACAGTGTGTCCTTTTTTCAAATATCCTTGAGAAGCATCTGACTCCCTGATGGTTTGATGGTGAATAAATCCTTTAAAAGCGAGTTTAACATTCTCTCAGTCTACTCAATACTTGTTTCAGTCAATGAGCAGAGCCGTGTCTCACAGGAGATATTCCCCCTATGTTAGTTCAGCTCAGCTGCACTTGCATCTGTTTCTCTATCATCCAGACACAATGTTTAATAATGTTTAGGGAATATTTCAGCCCACTGATTTCCACCGACCGACACAGATTGAATGAATAGTTTGAAAACTTTCGAAAAAATGCTTATTCACCTTCTTTACATCCCTGCCCAGAGTTACAGAAGATTGATAACACTGTTGTTTTTTTAAAAGGCATGAGCCAGGAGGTGTTCAGGTTAGCTTAGTTTAGCATACAGACTGGAAATAGCTATCCTTGCATTATTCAAAGGTAAACAAACACCACTTGATTACTTATGACAATACCTTGACTTGTTTTTAGGAGATAATAAAGAAATAGATTTTAGTAAAATGGTTGCCATCTATTTTCATTTTGCCAGTCTAAAACCCATGTGACCTGTACAGTTTGACATGGAAACAAAGTATTTCCATGATAAAACGATAAACAGAACAAATGATTAAATAGGAAAAACAAATATGAAACTTTGAAACTTCATAAAGGACAGTCAAATGTAAGACTCACTGAGGCAGACAGTTATCAGGATCCACCCACCTACACACTTACTCACGGTGACTAACACCAGACATGATAGCTGCTAATGTGGAGCTAGAATCTCACATCTGGACGTTAAGGGAGGGAAATAGACTGAGACGTGCACACACACACACACACACACACACACACACACACACACACACACACACACACACACACACACACACACACACACACTCTCATCGTTATACCGATAAACTACAACATTCAGTTAAATGAAGCCGTTGAAATTCAGGCAGTCAACCAATGAAGGAATTGAGTGGGTTGGTTTTGAAGCACCACCACCACCACCACTGTTAAGTGAAATTTGATTTAAATGGTTGCACAGTGTGAATTAGAACTTCTACTAGTTGCACCCACTACTCTGTGAACACTGTGGAGTCTGAAGCTCATAAAGCTCTTCAAAAGTGATGTGCATCTGGATGCTTTAAGCGTCATTTGCACACAAACATGTACACTTTGCTCTTCAGCCTGTAATGTATCAGGGGGCTATCTGACACACTCTGAGCCCACTGCAGAATAACATAAACAAATGATTATTTCAAACTTTAATCCTAAACAACAAAGAAGTGAAGTTGTGAGAGAGGGTATTAACGTGTTTTTATGGTGTTTTATCTCAATTTGAGAGATTCTTTTGTTCCAGTTCTAACACTAAGTATGATAGATCACGACACAGAGGAGTTGTGTGTGAGAGAAGTACAGGAGGCTGCACACAGCAGCATGTCACATCCTACTGAGAACACTGCTAGATCTGATATATATTCAGCTTTTGTGCTGCTACAGCATCGCATATTAAGAAAGTGTGTGCATACGTGTGTCTCTCATTAATACTCACTTCTAGTCCTCTCCTCTTGTGAACCTTACTTTGACATTTCTCTAGTTTACTTCAGCTTCAGTCCAAGTCCTACAGGGCTGCAAAAACACTGAGTAGAGTGATCATTTACAACATAAAAATGTAGAATAATATGAGCAGCACTTTTGGATTTTTTTTGTATACACTTCTGTTGTTGTTTATATTGTTTGTTTAAAACATTTGATCAACGATACATGTTGACTCCACTTTCATTCGCTCCTGTTAACAATAAACCAAAGCTATTCGCTAAAAACACTTTTCAAGATTGTTCAATTCCTAGTGTTTGATTTTCGTGTGATATGCACTTTTTACATTTAGTTTTTCATATTATTAATTTTACATATCATTCACACATCACTTGTTCAATCAAACTCATCTCACAGTTTGAAGTATTATTGTTATTTTCACTGCTTTAACTGCAGAGACCACTGTCAGCAGCTGCGAGGACATTTATTAATACTCTCTTTCCAGTTTTGGTTCACGTCATGGCTGCTGGCCGGTGCCTCATCCATCAAATCAGTTTAGTCACGGCCCATTTGATTTACTCACCTGCTCTTGCCGATTCTTGTTTAATGCTAAAAATGTTTTATATTTATAGTTTAGGCTCATAAAATGTTAGCATTAATCACAATTTTTCACCACTTGTTCATACTACCATTTCTCTTTCTATTTGTTCCTTCTACTTTGCCCTCTCTTTTCAGGAAAACATCAACATCGATGAAGCGGCTAACTGCCTGGTGAAACACATCATTGCCAGTGAGAACGACATGCTCCAAGCTGAAGTGCCCGACACCATCACCCCGCAGCTGGAGAATGACAAAGGCAGGACATGCTCCTCCTGCTTCAGATCCCAGTGACAGCCCCCGACGTCCTTTTGTATCTTATCACACAAAAAAAGTTTACCTTTTCTGTAAGCAGGAAAACTTCTTTGGCAGATTATTTTTTTTAAGCATGTGTGCCAACCTCATTCCTGTATGGTAGTGTCAGTGTGGAGGGGGAGAGACAGGCAGCTGGCTCAAGACATGGAGACAGAAAGAGAGCTGGATGCAGCTGTATGCGCTTGTCAAAGACAAGGTTACCCTCTGGGCGACTTCAAGCCTTGACACTGGCACTTTGGTTACCATGGAGACACCGTTAATGAACCCATGCACAGAGAGATCGCAGCAAATCACAGAGTATCAGTATGTGTATCTGTACTGAGGTCTGCAGAGCTAATCTCTATTTACTCTTTTTTTCTGTGTCTGAGTTTTCCCTGCTTCTTTCTCCCTTCACATCCCTCCCTCACAGCATTTCTTTTTAGTTTTTCAGATGTCATTCTGTACTAATAAGCAGGCAAAAAGCAACAGAAATATAGTTTTCCTCCTGACATACAAAGCAACTCAATTTGCATCCTGATAACACTACAATTTCATCACTAGCCATGGTTTGATTAGATCTGGTTCTGTTTTGTTTTTGTCATTTTATAGCACTGTCTTTTCCTGTCTTCCCTCATGCACATTTTCCGGCTTTAATGTATAACAAATTATATTAATGTACTAAAAGTGCCTTTTTCAAATACAAACCATCTTATTTAATTTCCTAAAAATAGATATTATCCACTGGATATTTTATTTATAAATGCACTTCAACTACCTTGCTTTTCAACACTGAGGTAGAACTGCACTCATGTATATTGAAAAATATCAAAAAGTACATTGTGTGTGTGAAAAAATGACATGTTAAAGCAAAGATTCATTATGTTGTTTCCCTATTAATTCTATGGTTTCATATTCAATTTATAATATTTTTAATTATGGGATTCATGCGTGTGTATGCAAACATGTACATATTATATACAGTATAATGAAACTGATTATAAAACCAAAGATGTATCCAGTTTTCAACATGTTCATATGAATAAACCATAGAGCTTTACTGACCAATGTCTGGATGTGACTGTGTGTTACAATGTGTGCACACACAGGTGTTTTCAATCACTGAGGCTGATTGGAGCAACAAAGGTTAAGGTGTAAATAGTCCCGCCCCTAACAGGTGCAACAAATTAAGAGGTGCATTAGAGAGCTGTCTGTCAAGATCAGTTTGTGAATGCCCAGAAACACCTGGGTAAGTGGACAAAAGTTAAGCATCATTGTTACTCTGGTACAATTGTAAAAACGTACTCTTTTAAAATACTCTTTGTTTGTGTTTAAAAGTTGATTTTCTGTTCATCTTTTAACATTGATAATTAAAGGTTTTATCCACGAATCAGATTTTCCCATACATAGTAGATTCAAATATTTGTTAAAAGTTGTTCAACATAAATTAAGATGTCGCTCCAGTGGAGAAAATCTGATTTAAAGCGGTCTCTGGTGCAAATAATATCAATTTAAGGCTTCTATAGGTCTGTGTTATTTTGGGTTGAGACTATCACGCTTGATTGAAATTCCCCTGTTGTTTTCATGGCTAATTTACTAGACAGGTTCCAGTTATTTCAAAGAAGAGAGATGCTACAAGGGAAGAATAGATTGTTTTAGTCTTGTTATAAACCACATTTCTGTCAAATGGAAACGTTTTGCCACCAGCGGCTTTACAATGAATCAGGTCATAGTTCTATTTACATATGTTAACGAATGCACCGTTCTCCAAATCATTCACCAATACAATCAGTTAGCGTACAACGTTATTAAAGCTACATCATTTATCTGGCTTACATTATAAATAAACAGTTATATGTTTTGAATCTGCGTACTAAAAATCAGGCTGCAACATTATTATAAATCCACAGATGTAATCAGAGCATAACAAATTCAAATTGATGCAATTTTAACTTCTGGCACTGAACCACAGAATGTATTTCCAATGATGTGTCTCTCTTTTAATTAATGTCAGGCTTGTGGACAAACATTTATTCTTTCCTTATAGAAGGGGATTATGTTTTTCTCATAGTATTAGTAACCGGTCCCTCCTGTCAATATGCTGAAAATCCGATTTCACTGAGGAATAGTTCAGATTTCAGTACAAGAGTTCTTGTTTGCGTATTTATTATCCTGATGACCTGACTTTCACCTGCCATGTGACTGAAGCCGACCTGCAGTAAAACGTCTTTACTTTCTCGATCTCTAAGGTGTCTGAAAACACATATCTTGAATTTCTTGAG